GACGCGTTTCAGATACGCCGCCCCCAAGAAGGGGGCAAGTTTGGCAATGACAAGCCTGAGTTTCACAACAAGGAGATCGCTTTTGGGAAGAAGGGCAGACGAATCGAAGTGTCGAATTCGGGGGGGAGGAGGGCCTCAGCTGCATTCATTCACAGGGGCCTCACGGAGCCTCAATATCTTGTGGAGCTTATTCTGCAGGAGGGACGTGTCGGGGTCGTAAATCATCTGGAGGATGGCGGACAGGCGGTTGAAATTATCGATGATGGCGTAGCATATGCTGGCGCGGTTCCACGCGCAGTGACGCAGCACCGCAAGGCGATCTAAGGTGGGCGAATCTTCCTCGGATTTCCTCAAATGCCTGAGACCTGGAGGCAGCGCGATACATATTAGCTTTGCATTCGCGCTCGAGGTCTCCGGGGTCCGAGGGGAAATGGAAATTAGACGGTTGCCTCAAGATGCCAGCGGGGGTAGAATGCCTCGGAGCCGAAGCCAGCGCTTGGGGGGCCTCCTTCTGCTTCTCAATGAGCGAAGGCGCCGGTGAAAACAACTGGCCAACGAAGCTCGGGACAGAGAAGGCGAGCGAGTTATACGCGATGGTATTCTGGCAGAGACCTAAGCGCAATCCCTCGATGTGCCATGCCCGCTAAGTGAATTTTATGCCGGGAGCGACCCAAGAACGCCCGTGCCCATTTGGGCCCGGATAAACCTCAATATATTTGCCGCACGTACTAACCGAAAACTTGCTGACCATAATCCCCGCACCGCGGAACATCACCAATATCTGGCGCGGGGTGCACTGCACAACATATACAAGATAACATTTGTTGGCGGCCAGCAGGGGCCCGGTCAAGAGCGCCGCCTGTGAGACGACTCTCAGTATAATCGGCGACGAACGGGCCAGATCCTGCGATGCAACGCCGATGCCATTTGCAAATGCAAATGGCCGTGCCGAAGGCGAAAGGGCAGATTACAAGCAGCGAAATACAGGGTCAGCGGCAATCGCGAACAATGCGCCAGACAGTGGGCAGCCCTGTTTAATGCCTCTGGATATATAGTAGCCCCGAAATAGACCACCAGCAAGCCTGATGCTCGTGCATATGTCCGTGTACATTTGTACGACATCATGTATGACATATTCGGGGATCCTCATGTGCGCGAGCACACTAGCAATCCACGAGTGAACCATACTTGGGAATGCAGCCGCAAAGCCCAAAAACAATCGGCCAGCCCGATTCGTGTCCTCGAAAACAGAGTGCCCCCAAAAGTGAGCCTCGATCTTCATGATATTGCCGAGCATGCTCCTACCTTTCATAAGCCCCGCCTGATTCTCGCGGGCGGAATCTCTACGCTGCTGGTCGCAGGGAATACATGAGAGAGAGGGGCATATGTGGTTGTCGGTGTTGCCGAGGAAGAGAGGTCTCGTCTCTGCTGGTTTCTTCTGCGCGGCGAGGATGGCATCGCCATCGACTTTTTTTTGCGGGGAAAGACGGCGGTGCCATGATTGAAACCAGCGGGGCGCTTCTTGAACGACACCAAGGCAAGGTACGCAGCATATTGAAATCTCCTTACATCCCATACTGCCTTTGGCCCGGCCAGAGTAAGGAACCCCATCGGCTCCCGCCGCGAGTCTTTCTTGCACTTCGCAAATCCGAGAAGATCAGGAAACGGCGCCTCCCACTCAATCCCAGGGGCGACTCTTTGACAGTGGACAAGAAGCAGGTCTGAGATGTGTTGTGGGACGTTCGGTGCATCAGTCGCCGTTCGCACTCGTCCCCAATGCGCGGCAAGGCGAGCGGCGCTGTCGCCCAGAGAGGTGGGCCCGCGCCCGTCGTCGTTCCAAATGCCCACGAGGGAAGGTCGCCTGTGCCTGGGAGACCAAACTTTAAGGAGCTTGTGCAGCTTTACAGTTCGCTCGTCACCTAATCGATACTCAGGGGGCGGTTCATGCTCGCGAACCTCTAGAACAAGTATGCGCTCTTGTAGTACACGAATATGTCCATGAAAGCGTGCGGCGTCGATAATGTGCGCATGATTTTCGTTCGCATATGCATGTACATCAGGATAAGCGCGTGCGCACTTACGAATGCCATGGTAGTTGTCCGTCATGTTCGCGCGCATGCACTTGAGACAAACAGCGCGACGGTGAGCGTCCGTCTGCGCGCCATTATCTAAAATCAGAGATTTCGGCTCGTCGCGCGCGCACATCATGCAGTCTTTAATCTCGGCTAGGGCGGAGAGCGGATCAGAGGAGAGGTCTATCTGGTCAATGGCGTCGTCAATCAGAATGGGGAACTCGGGATGAGAGGTTGCCCGGCACCCAGGAAGGCATGGTAGCGCACGTACGTGCGCCAGGACTGAATCGAACGAACACCGGAACATGGTCGCTCGGCTCGTTGGCTTTCAGGACGCGCCCAATGATCCCAGCAGAAGGTTTTGCTTCCAGAATCAGTGCCGTCGGCGCAAACACATATATCCGATCCAATCGCCCCAGGGACCTCGCGCCCCCCCCCCAAATCACCAAACCTATGAGTGGGCTCGTCCTGAGCAAGCTCGAGAGCAGCAAGAAGCACTTGCCGAGAGTGTCGGAGAAAGTCAGGTCGCTCAGGCCGTTGAGAGGCTCCGTCTGTCCTGAAGCGGGTCTCAGCTGCCTCTAGGAAGTTAAAATCACCTGCCGGAAATGTTAAACGCGATTCGCTGTCGGGCAGCGTGGCAGCAACACTGTTCATGATGTTATATGTTCGGGGGTCGTTGAGGGTGGGGTCGGGATGGGTGTTGAAGAGATTGAGGTCACCCAAGCGTCCTCGCAAAGATATCGAGAGAAGACGGCCGTCGTCAAGCCCCTCAGGCTCGACTGCTTCGAAGTCGGGGAGGAAGGACTTGATGATGCTGACGGTCGCGCCGCCAGCGCGCGGGTTCTCGCAAAATGAGCCGAAACGGGTGTGCGAAGGATAATCCCGTCGGAGAGTCTCTAGATCAGCGTCTGTTCCATGTGTCTCTTGCATGTGTACTATAGTACGTGATTAAAAAAGTAGACGAAGCTTGCGCAGTATGTTCTTCTGTCTCCGAGGGCCACCATGCACGCTGCCAAAGAAAGCTCTTGAGTTCCAGGTGCATACTGAGATGCCCTGCTTGATCTGGAAAGGACATTCCGCGGGAGTGTCGCCGCGCGCGGGAGGGGGGTGGAGGGGGCGTAAGACAACTGCCCTTACAACGCTTCCCAGACAAGCGGTCGAAAGAGAAAAACCCAGGATTGTCGGAAACAGATGAGGTTGTTGCGTTCGGTCGCACCACTACCTTGGAACCTACCTATGTTAGAGAAATTCGAATCATGAAAAAAATGAATTAAGTATCTGGAAAATTACATTATCAGAAACTGGATAATTCAAATAATTCATTAAACCAATAAATAATTCATTAAATCCATCTCCTGTGGGCGGCAACGCGCAGGACAGCATCATGATTACCTTCGCGCTATGGATCAGATATGGCACAACCTTCAACAAACGAAGCCTGATCTCACCATGCACACGGGCCCACACGGGAAAGTGCGATGCAGAAGCAATGTCGGACCTGAAATTCGCACCGCAGCCGTCTACAACCACAAACCTTCGAAACTCAGGAATCGATTTCTGACAAACTCGCAAGCCATGCCTCCGACGCCTTCATGACAAGACACAACAGGAGCATCAAGGCCGCATGAGAGAACATCCGACGCCAGCAAAAGCCCCGAGGAGAGCAAGAGCCAGACTTCCTCCAGCGAGTAGGACGGTCATTTTTTTCATTTTCTCTGATCTCTCTCGCACCCTAGTTGTAACGCGGCACAGTCCCTCGGCAGCTCATCAAAGAGGAGGTGTCGAATCGCCGCCGAGGGGAAAACAGCCGCCTGCTGCGAGGCGCAGGCCCTCCCCGCCGAGGGGAACACAGCCGCCTGCTGTGAGGCGCAGGCCCTCCTTGCCCCCTATGTTACACATCCTTGTCTCGCACACGCCTCCCATCGTCCTCATCCTGCCAATCCTCCTACATCCCCTCCTGATCCTCCTCTGATCCTCCTCTGATCCTCCTCCTCCTCCTCCTCCTCCTCCTCCTCCCCCTCCTCCTCCTGCTTATCCCTCGGTGGCCCCCTCCCCCTCATCATCCTGTTCCTCTTCCTTCTCCTCCTCCTCCGCGCCATGCCCCTCCTCCTCTTACTCCTCCTTCTCCAAACCCCCATCCTAATCCTCCTCCTCCGACCCTCTTCCTCTTCCACCTCTTCCCCGAGGAGGGGGGGGGGAAAGGGAGGGGGAGGAGGGGGGGGAAGAGGATGACGAGGAGGAGGAGGAGGAAATGGAGGAGGAGGAGGAACCTCCTCCTCATCCTCTTCTCCCTCCTCGTCCTGGGGCCTGCGCAGGCGCCGCGCGCCTTGCGTCTCGCCTAGAGGCCTAGCGGCGGGCCTTGCGCGCAGCCATGCGCTCGGCGAGGCTGCGCTTCTTGAACGCAGGCGCCGCGTCTGGCGACTGCTGCTTGTCCTCTGGGGGCTCCCCCAGCCCGGGGAGCGGCGGCTTCGCCATCCTCTCCGCGAACCTCTTGCGACTCGAAGAGGAAGAAGCCGCCGCAGTCGGCTCAGCTGCCTGCTCCTGCGGGCCGCCCTGCGGGAAGGGGCGCGAGAGCCCAAGAGGCCAAGGACCAAGGGGGGCATCCGAACATTCATTCAGAGGGACCCTACTGGAGGAGCGAAGGGGATGCAAGGCTGAGGAGGGAGAGGAGTGCGGGGGCGGGCGGAGACTGGATGACGCCCACCGGGTCAGTGACCCCCAACCTAGACGACTCGGGGCTGGGGAAATCGACGTCGCCGCCGAGGGGGCGATGACGAGAGCGCCACAGCAATCCTATGGATAACAGTCCGAGTTGTATTGCGTCTCCCCCTCCTCCTTCTCCTCCTCCTCCTCCTCCTTCACATCCTCCTCCCTCCTCCTCCTCCTCCTCCTCATCTCTCTCCTCTTCCTCCTCCCTCCTCCCACCAATCATCCCGTTTGTCGTGTGGGATCCTCGAAGAGCTCGGCGTCAAGCTTATCGATCTCCTCCTTGTCGGCCTCCTCCCCCTGGTCTTTCTCGCGGTCGAGGTACAACCCGGCGGCCCATGAGGACAACAATTCGTCGATCTCCTCGGACGGTGACCATCCAGACTTCGCGATGTCCTTGCGAAGGGCCGCCACCGCGCGCTGGCAAGCCTCCACATCCTGAAACTTCCCTGGCCACTCTCGCTGGGTGGCTGAAAGCGCCGCGGCAAGCGCCACTGTGGCGAGGGCGTTGTCGGCAGCAGCTGAGGCCCGCTGAACCACCTCAAGACTGGCCACAGTGAACGTCTTGTTGAGGCCCAACACCACCTTCATCACGCCCTTCAGGATCATGGAGACGGAAGTCATGGCGGCGTGGTCAGCGTCCATCACAGCATCCATCTGATCGGTGTTCCCCAGAATGGCCGTGCTGGAATGCACTGGGACCTTGGCTTCAAGGTTGCCCGCCATCGACAGGAGATCTTGCTCGGCGGCTGCCTTGTAGAAAGCCTTCAAGTCCAAGATGTCCTTCTCGAAAGACTGCATGATGCTCTCAGGGTTCAGGCGCTTGTCGAAGGTCCCGATGTGGAAACGAAGCGAGCCACCCTTGTCGGCCTTCAAGTCCGACGACACCTGAAGCGGAAGCCGAACACGCTCGGCAATGCGAATCACACCTGCCACCGCCAAGCTCGCCGCCAAGCCGCCGCCCCAGGGGACTTTGGAGGCTCGGCCGCTGGCTGAACAGAGGCAGATGAGGTTCGGCACTGGGCGAGCTCAGCCCCGTGAACCAGCGTCGTGAGGTCGATCCTCTGCAGGCTGTCCCAGCGGGCGTTCAACTCCTTCCACTGAGCCACCACGGAGCTTTCCAAGAGCAAGTCCTTGAAGGTCTTGGCCGCTGCGCGCACGTGCTTATACTTCGCCAATGTAGCCACCGCTTGGAACGTCTGGCTGGCCGAGACGGCGAAGGACAGCTGGCGATGTAACGTCTCGTCGCCGATGTCCAAGGCAAACTGGAGCCCATCCGCGATGATGTTCACCGGGTGCTTCGCCTCCGCGACGGCTGAGACTCCGCCCTCATCAAGATCGTTCCATGACCACGGCTTCTCACAGCACGCAGCGCCGAGAACAAGGAGCACGTGGTCGAGGATGGGCATGAGGATGGGGCCGCTCATCTCAATTGCAACCGTCGTCATCTTCTGCATGTGCTCGCCTGCAGAGTCCAGCACGGGCGACGCCAGCAGGGCCAGCGGAGCCTCTGGGTCGGCGAAGAACTGCACTGCATCCTTGTGGATCGGTTTCAAGTTGGTCGCGATGATTGACAGGACAGACTTGTAGTCAGCTGGTGTAAAGTTGCTCGCGGCCCCCGAGCTCGAGAGCGAATGCCGACGGCTCAAGGCCTCCCCGATGCTGCACAACTGCTGGATGGCATTGGTCTTGGCCTCAATCATCGGGATATGCTTTTTGTGTTTGGCCGTTGCCTCGATGTACTTCTCAAGCAAGCGGCGGCGGTCCCCGGTGTCCTCGACCCACTTGGCAAGCGAAGCCCCTGTCGTTGTATTGACCAGGATCGGGGGCAGCACGGTAGCCCAACCCTGAATGAGAAAGTCGATCCACTTGGTCATCGCCGTCACGATCTTGGAGTCATTGTTGTTGGGAACGTAAGCGGGAATGCAATGGGACAGCGAGGCGAGAGACTCCACGACTGCCTTGGCCGAATCAACGGCTCCATCCAGCCAATGTAGATCACGCGAAAAAACGTCTGGCAGGCACTTCGTCACGCTGGCGCTGAGGACAGCGATCTTCTCGTTGACGGGCTCGATGGCTGAAACAGTGGCCTTGGCCTTCTCCAGCAGCTCCTTGGCCTCACGGAAGATCAACTGCCCAGGGTTCCACATGTTCAGCGCAGTCCCCAACTGCGTCCCAGCCTTTTTCTTCGCAGGGAGCGTACCCTCAATAATCTCAATGGCGTCGCTCAGGTGCTCCACCATGTCGGCCGCAGAGAGGTGCGTGACATTCTTGGCGCTGTAGATCACCTGGAACGCAGCCCACCACTCGGAGACTTCATCTTCGAAATCGTAGTCGGAATCCTCGTCGTCAGCCGTCAGAGCGGCCAACGCGGCCGCGCGCTCGTCCTCAGTCTTGATGCGGAGAGCATGCGAAGGGCGGTCCGCGAGGAGCTGCTGCTGCTCTTCGCAGATGGCGGCAGGAGCGAGTCCGACTGCACGCAAGGCCTGGGACGAGATGAGCGTGAAAAACTGTTTGGCATCAGTTGCCTTGACCACGTCCAGCTTCTTCCGCATCCAGCAAAGGTGAGGCGGGATATCCAACGTCGTCGCTGGATCGAGCGCCAAGGTAGTAACGGCGAGGTCGTACCTCGTAGGGGGGCTTACGCCGGGGACCCAAGACAACGCCAAGAACGCATCGCAGATGGCCGCCAGAGAGGACCCGCCCGCCCACCCCCCATCCCCGCTCTCCCAGGCAAGGACGAGCGAGAGAGGGCAGGGCGGCATCTCTTCGTAACATCTCGATGCCATCTTCGAGGAATGCTGGGACCAACTCGGAGCCCGTCGACTGAGAGGTTTGCTAAGGTCTGAAGCCCCCTAGAACGTTTCAGAGAAAGCGAATTCGCCCGCCAGAACGGATGTCCGCGCATGCGCGCACCCTCTCGCACCCCTCCAAGGACCCTTCCTGGGAAGCTCTGCAGAGTCGGGATTGGCGGGCGAGCGGGACAGATCGGGGAAGTGCGGCGAGGGGGGGGGGGGGGGCACGGCGGTGCCAGAAAGGCACACGGGTAGCCGATGCGGTCAAGTGTCCTGGGCCCCAAGAACCACGAACAACAGTGAGCACGCCCTCAACATCTACCTCAAATCGCTTCCACTACGCTACCCCCAGGGGGATCCCTAATAGAGTAAGCTCTAAAGAATCCCGTTGGAAACGCCCCGCAGGATCACCCAGTCAGACCTCCTGACGCGCTCCTGCAGGGCATTTGCAAGGGCCTCGCTCGGAGCCCTTTCGGAGCTGTCCTGGATACTCTCTCGGGGCTTTGGGCCCCCAAGGGTTCCAGAAGTTACAAGACAGCCGCGATGCTCCAGGATCCAGGAACGGAAAGAGAGAGGCCCGCATGAGCCCCCTATCGGAGGGCCCTGGGGAGAGGCACCATTTCCTTGCTAACCCCCTGCCCCCCCTCCAACGACGCTGGATTCGGACCCGATCCCACTTGGTCTTCATCTCCTCGGGTGGCAATGCGGCAAGCCCCAGGAAGTCGTTGATCACAGCAAGCTTCTTCTCGCTGATCTTGCACAGGCGATGTTCGTCGGGGTCCTTGAGGGTGCGCAGCTTCGAAGAGAAGTCTTTCAGCAATGCGAGGTTGAGCTTGATCTGGGCATCCTGCTCGCTCCCCCAATGAGAGCGTCGTCGGAGCCTGCGCTGAAGAAGCGGGACTCCAACTCGGACACCTCCATCAGAAGGTTCTTCACAGGCGGCCGACCTCGCTTCTTGGCGCCTGGCTTTGCGGACGCGGTGGCGCCACTCGAGCCGCTCGACTCGCCGCCGCTGCCGGAAGCTGATGCGCCGCCAGTTCCTCGCCCGCGGCGCTTGGCCCCACCAGCAGCCTGTTCCGCCGCCGCTGGCGCGGGGTCGGCAGTCGGCGGGCGCGACGCAGCAGGGCCTGCAAGCGGCGGCGGCGCGTCGCTGCGGCCAGCGGCGGCAGCAGGAGGCACGCCGATGACCTGGTCGATGGCGCCAGTGATGTTGAGAGAGGCGAGCGAACCCGGGAACAGCATCTCGAAAACCCGCGCCTGCTTCTGCGAGATTGACTCTACGGAGCCAGAGCCCAAGTTGACCGTCCTGACCGACTGGTGGCGCTCGACCTTCCCGTAGTGGGTGCAGTCCACGTCTGGGACCCAGACGCCCTCCACTCCGTTCTCGTCCTCGCCCAGGTAGTGCCCTTCCGTCTGGGCCAAGCCATTCGTAGCGAAGTCGCCCTTGGTCCTCTGGTAGCTCGCCATCGGGTAGAACGTTTTCCCAGGGCCTGTCTTCACGGCTTCCTTGATGACGACCTCTTGAAGCACGCAGTCGTGCACCTCGTCGTAGTCCAGGTGAGCAGTGCGCTTCGCACCCGACTCAATCATGGACGCAATCATTTTGTCGATGATCACGCCGAAGACCTTGACGCGTTCTGGCCCAGCTCCAAGAACGCCCTTGAACTTCGTGTAGGTCATCCCTGGGAGCTGCCTGACGTTGCCGTTGAACCACCTCGTGCAGTACCCGCGCGCGGTCCCCTGGGTGCACCCCCGCGCGTCGGCCTTGCGGCCCCAATACATGAAGACGCGCTTGCCCGCCGCCAGGTCGATCGGGTCGAGGTCGTTGTCGCGACGCGGGCAAGTGTCGCATTTGCGGCCGTCTGGCCTCTGGGGAGGAAGTCGAAAGTCGCACTGCGTTGAGTCGGCTGGCCCCACCCCACGCACTGAAGTAAGGAGATGAGTCGTTCGGGCCCCTCTGTCGCAGCTGAAGTCGCCCGAGTCCGTCCTTCGGCAGACAGAGGGGCCCGAACGACTCATCTCCTTGACTTACGATGCTCTCGAAATTCGTGGAGGTGGCGCGACGCCAGACATCATAGTCAAGGGCGTAGGCCAGGACAAGACAAGAAGACGGCAGAGAGCAACCATGTTGCTAGCATCGGACCGAGCCCAGGAAACCGCACAAAGGCCCAGGGCTCGCAGAAGACAGATCGGCCCGAAAGGGCGGGAACCATTTTTGGGTCACAGGAAGAAAGGATTGACCATGCCAAATCCTGCCCGCAGAAAACAGATCGGCCCGAAAAGGCGGGAACGTTTTTGGGGTCACAGGGAGAGAGGATTGACCGTGTCAAATCCTATCCGACCGATGAGCGCATTCGCCAGAAGGCCAAGTTGAAGGAGGGCCATGTACCGAAGGCCAGGAAGCAGCACGTGGAGGACCCTCACGATGACTGCGGCACAGACCTCTCTGGCCTGGAACCCTACTTACTTGGACTTCATGCCCTCGGCGATTGCGACGGCCCCGAGTACGACGAAGGGCTCCAAGCGGGCACCAAGAAAGCTCCAGGAGTACTCCAAGAGCCCCCCAAGAGCCCCCCAAGAGGGCCCAAGACGGCTCCAAGAAGGCCCCAAGAGGGCCTTGGGGAGGGGCAAAGATACCTCCCAGAAAAGCCCCTCCTCCTCCTCCTCCTCCCTCCTCCTCCTCCTCCTCCTCCTCCTCCTCCTCCTTGCCTTCCTCGTCCTCGCCCTCCTCCTGCTGCTCCTCCTCCTCCTCCTCCTCCTCCCAGCCTGAGCACCGCCATGACGTCGGAACCTCCAACGCCGCTGCGGCTGCCGCCGGTGCGAGAGCGACGATCAGCGCCGCCGCTCAACGCCCCCTGCATGTCCTGGAGGTGCTTCGAGGCCGCCGCCATCGCGACAGGTCGTCGGTCGGGCGGTCGAGAAGATGGAAGCCGAGGGCGTGGGCGCGCAAGGCTTCGGGACTGAAGAGCTTGACTCGTTGGTTAGCAGCTGCGAGATTGGAACGGGAGGCCCAGGTCGGGAGTTTGCTCCAGGGGGGGGGGGGATAACGCGGCCAGCTTGCCAAAGTCAACAGGGCGAACGCTGCCGGCGGTCTAGGGAGTGGGCAGGAAGAACAGGAGCGGGAGGACAGGGGCGGGGAAGGCGAAGCAGCAGGTGGGGAAGGAGGGAGGAGGAACAGAGGCAGGAGAGGGAGTCGAAGGGAGAGAAGGGGAGGGAAGCGGAGTAAAGGGAACGGTGGGCATCACTTGGGCCCACGAGGGCCAAGGCTAATCTCGGCCAGAACCTGACGTCAAGTTTCGGGCCCGAAACAACGAACGGCGCAAATAACGGAGTGGAACATCTACTTTTTGGGGGCCCCCACCCAGGACCTTGATGATCCTCTGGCTCTTGAAAAGCCAGCTTGAATCTTTGACCGATGGGATCGTTGAAATCGCTGCACCGATGGGGAGAAAGCTGCAAAGCCCCGACCCTCCGTCGCCGTCGCCGCTGCCGCTGCCGTCAGCCGTTGCCACCCTGGTCATCGCCCTGCCCCTCCCTCTTCATGAGCGCGCCCGCGCTGGCGGCCGCAATGACAACGCGCGGCAGACGAATCTGCGCGCGGCCAAGCTAGCGAGGGCGCGCCATGAACAGGGAAAGAGTCACGATGCCGAGACGGAGCGCCCCCTGAAGTCTTTCCAGGGCTTGCATCTACTATTGATTCTAAGCTTCAGCGAAGAGGGGGGCGTCACACCACCTAGCTCGGCCCTCCAAGCCAGAGCCAGCCTCGCGCGCGCCGTCCCCGACGCCAGCGCCGAGCCCCTGAGACCCATGATGAACAAGAGGGGCGGGCCTGTCACCCTAGCGTGGTCGGCATGGTCTCTATATCCACCGCCTGTGATTCGCAGCGAGCGCTGGGAGGGGGCTGGGATGGTGAATCTAGAAGTCGCTGTTTCGAATCACAGACTCACGGTGCTACCAACCACCCAGGCCCGCGCCTATTCGCTAGCAGGAAGACGAGGGAGATGGAGGTACACTGATGGGGGGCAGAAGACCCTGGTGACTCGAGGACCCTTCTCGGCCCTTCGGGCCTTCTAGTCTTCTCGCGGCCCCCAGGGCCCCAGCTGTAACCGACGAGTTCCCTGCGCAGGGCCGACGGGGCAGAGTTGGGGGGGCGTTGGAGGCGAGGAGTAGGAGGGGGAGGAGAAGGAAGAGGAGGAAAAGAAGAAGAAGGAGAAGGAGGAGGAGGAGGAGGAGAACTGAAGGACGAGAAGGATGCTGAGGAGGAGGCTGAGGAGGAGGACGAGGGGGCGGCCCCCAGGCTGACGCGCCCTCAGTCTGAGCTCGCGCTTACCGAACAAGGACGCTGACAGCTCATGGCGGTGTCAATCTCCATGTCCATGAGCTCCTCGATGTCCTCCTCGATGGACTGGTCGGCATGCGATCCGAACTTGCCGATAGTCGCGAGCTGCGCGAGGAGAAACGGGATGATGTGCCACGCGCAGTAGCCGTTCCCAGTCATTTCCATCAGCAACTCGCTGTACCTCTTATGGTTGGTGGTGGCCACCTCGGCGTCGATCCGACTGATTCCTGCCGGCCAGCATTCGTCTCCCCAGCCGATGAGCCTCATGCACTCGAAGCCCTCCATGAGGCGCACCCTCCTAGGAGAGCGCGTGCGCACCAAGAAGCGCGCCGTCCCGGTGAGCGTCGGCACGATGGACTTCCACGGCGTCGCGTTCTTGTCCTTCAGCTTGCCGTTCTCGCCCAGAAGCGGGCCGACGGACCGCAGGAGCTGCATGTTCACATCCACGAACTCCAAGTCCGCCTTCGGCTGGAACGCTGTACCGAGGAAGCCCGCCGCATCACGTTCCCGTGGGAGAAGCCCCCCCCAAGTCGACGTGCTTCATGGTGTCAGCCGTCGCGGGCCAGGCCAAGCCCCAACTTGAGAAGTAGAAGTGATGCGATACTTTCCAATCGAGCTATTTCTTGGCGGTGTCCTTCGCCCCGTCCTGCTGGTGCGTGCGCATGCCGAGTGCTTCGGCCTGCGCAGTCCTCTCGATGGGGTCAGCAGTGATGAAGTCAGTGATCTTCGCCGCAGACGCATGACGGAAAGCGTTGAGACACTGCATGAAGAACGAAGAAATGACATCGTGATTTCCCACCAGGTTCTTGGCCCCCCCCCCACCAGAGCCTCTGTCGTTCACACGGTGCCCCGAAGTCGCGGGCGTCCATCATGAGGGAGTGCATCCAGCACCCCTTCTCACGCAGCTTCATGTTCATCCATTCCATGTCGCTCATGCCTCCAGCGGGCTTGCTAGCCAACTGCTTAATATTTTCCAATGTAATGACGAGAGGCTTGCGAGCATCGACCGTTCGCTCGACCGCTTGAAAGCCTTCTCCAGTGGTACCAGTACCTCGTTGAACACAGCCCAGGTTGCTGGAAGCGGCCGCATTGAGAGGACTGCGAGACTTGCAAGGGAACCCCGCATCTAGCCATACAACCTTTATCAGACTTCCCAAAAAAAGGTCGTAGTAAAAGGGGTCAGGGGGTCGCACCGCATCGCTGATGCATCTATTACGCAGTTCGAGGTGTATCCCCAATATCGATGCATCGCCGACAAGTACAAGTCACCGTCGCGATGCATCGGCGATGCAACGTGGACCCTGGATCTGAGCTACATGACCCCAATCCCTTTTTTAGATAGCATCACCTCTGGGAGGTGCTGCGTGCGGACATGCTCGGGATCGACGACGTTGCGGACGCTGTCTCCTTCATGAAGCTCCTCCATCCTCTCCGTTGCGAAAGTGGGCTGGGTCTCTGCAATGACGTGCTCGCGATTCCTGCGGTCGAGCTCCGCGATCAAAACGGTATCGAAACAAATGTCGACACCGTACTGGTTCCGAAGAACCCCGCTGATCGCGCCCATGCAGTGGTGCATGATGCCCGTTCCAGCGCACAGACTCCACACAGGCACTTTGTTGAGGCCCAGCACTGAGGGGACGTTGGCGATGGCATGTAAGAACACAGACTCCTGAGAATCAGACATCTTCGAAAGATACTTCACAACCAAGAACTCCAACTTACTCTCCGGAACCCAGGATGGCTGAGGTTTCAGACGGCGAGGAGTAATGAGGTCGGACTTCGCGAGGGACTTGGCGCTGCGACTCCCCCTGGCGCGGCTGTCCTTCCAGAGGGCGGCTGCGCAATAACAAGCCCACGACGGTGGCAAGTGTTGCCCTTCCAGGATGTCAAAGCCCCGGGCCCCCCAGGACCTCTGAATTCTGCGATTTTCAAAGCCTCCGAAAATCAATCAAATTCAATTCCGAACGGCCTGAAAATAATTAAATCGAATAAAAAAACCAAAATCGCAGAAAATCCCGGGGCGCTGCGATTATAATTTCCCGTCGAGGCGGGAAATTAAAATCGCAGCGGGCGAAAATCGCAGAAAGTCCCGGGAGGAATTTCGAATTAGCAGATTTTTAATGATTCCGAAATTCCCAGGGCTGATTTTGGATCTCTGGAAATGAACATCAGAGAGGGAGGAGGAGGAGGAAGAGGAGGAGGAAGAGGAGGAGGAGGAAGAGGAGGAGGTGGAGGAGGAGGAGGAGGAGGAGGGGGGGGGAGGAGGAGGAGGAGGAGGAAGGAGGAGGAGGAGGAGGGGGAAGGAGGAGGGGCTTTTCTGCGAGGCATCGTTGCCCCTCCCCAAGGCCCTCTTGGGGCCTTCTTGGCGCCGTCTTGGGCCCTCTTGGGGGGCTCTTGGAGCCCTCTTGGTGCCCTCTTGGAGCCCCGAGAGGAGCCCCAAGAGAGCTACAAAGAATACCACCGCAGGAGTCCACGGACGCCCCCCCCTGGGGGAGTCCACGGGCCCCTAGGGGGGGGTGGATCCGTGG